TCATGAGATTAAACTAGAGATACTAGTTATCATTTTCAAGCTACAGGAACAGAATCACATAAATGGAAATCACGTGGAGGCTTATCAGTGGGGAGGGAGCAGAATGGGGGGAAATGTACAGGGAATAAGAAACATAAATGATATGCACAAAATAAACAGGGGGAGGTTAAGAATAGTATAGGAAATGGAGAAACCAAAGAACTTATATGTACTACTCATGGACATGAACTTAAGGAGGGGTGGATGCTGGATGGAGAGGGTTGCAGGGTGGAGGGGAATAAAGGGGAGAAAAATAGTGGACAACTGTAATAGCATAATCAATGAAATATACTTAAAAAACTAAAGCTATTTAGGTTTTGTCTCTACTCCCTTTGCCTACCATTAAAAGTATGTTCTGGTGATAAGTGTCATAACTTAAATTATTAACTAAGAAGGAGAAGTAAATAGGGCAAAAAACGTGGAGAATCAGATATATTCATATTGTGACAGTTCTGGAGGAGTTCCTTCTCCTTAGTGAGAAGGCAACTCTTTAGTAGGTAATGGTCTGTGGAGTTGTCACATGTAACCCACAAATCACAAGTCACTTTCTAGATGACTCAGACTTCCTTCTGAAAGAGCATGCTTGTGACTGCTGCCCTTGGGAAGGTTTCTCCTTCAATCAAAGGGTAAGTTCAAGGCCCTTAGCTCAAAATAAAACTGGATTGCATTAAATACCAGTTGCTTTCAAACTACTTTCTAAATCTGGCCATAGGGCTTCTCTGGTTTCATGTAGGAATGTAAAAGTGCACCAGCACACACTTAATACTCCCTGTGCCTTGGGTGACCACAGAGTGATTCAAGAGTGACGTGTGGGCAATTCCCCTGGAGCCAACACAACAGCAGCTCCGCCCACAAGAGGTCAGGGCAGTGCCCTCAGCAGATACTTTGGTCACTTGATAATTATAATTTTATTTTGAAATGATCATTTTAAAAAAAATGTCCAAGTGGAAGCAATTAAACTTTGGCAAAGTCAGACAATTGTTGCTAGCAAAAAAAAAAAAAAAAAACCCAGCCAAGCTGCAATTGGCTCTACATGTAAAATGTAGGCAAAATCCAGGGTGAGGTTAGATTCTCAAGTTCAGGGCAGCACCAAAGAGGCAGCAGAATCATATGTTTCCATTGGTAATTAATAAAGTAATTGTAATTTACTGTAAAATTGTAAATTACTGTAAAAAGTAATTTCATTGGTAATTAATATTTCTCTGCAAAAATTTTTATGTCATGGTGTTCTCAGTGGAGAAATAGTGTGTTGCCTTGACCAGGTGACTCAATTGGTTGGAACGTTGTCTTGTACACCAAAAGGTTGTAGGTTTGATCCCTGATCAGGGCATATACCTAGGTTGCAGATTTGATCCACAGTTAGTGCACATATGGGAGAAAATTAATTAATGTCTCTCTCTCTCTCTCTCTCTCAAATCAATAAACATATCCTTGGATGAACATTTAATTTTTTTAAAAATAGTGTGTTCTGTGAAAACTAAAGAGTTAGTATTAAGAAAGTCATTTCTAGACTTCTCTAATAATTTATGAAGGAAAGTTTGAGTAATTACTTCAGAATGAGCTGCCAACAGGTGGCCTGTTGTTATCACAGGTGATCAATATCAGGGGCATTACCAGTTGTGGGGGTTTCAGTAAACAAGTCTTCCCGGAGAACTCAGACATAAGTGAAATAAGATTATGTCTGGGAGATTAAATATGAAATGAATACATCATAGCTCAGAGAGCCATCTTAGGAGGTGGAATAGAGTCCCAGCCAAGAACACTTACTCCATTGTAATAAGGTCAAAAATTTGAAAATATCTAAATAAACAATGAATAGGGGGTAAAGGGAACTCAGAGACTAATCTAGCTCAGTCTGAGGAAAGTTGTACGGTTTTTGGTATAGATGTATCCTCATTTTAGATCAAGATTCATTGACTTCTCTCAACCTAAATGCAAAACAAAACAAAAACAGTAGTTCTTAAACATCAGCAATCATCTGAGGTGCTTGTTAGAAACATAGATCCCCAAGTGTCCCTCTTAGAGAGTCTGAGTCAATAGGTCTGGGATAGATTTGAACATCTGAGGAGTCATCAAGCCCACTAGGGCTATGCTGAGGCACAGGGCTCGAGGGCCACACTCTGAGAAACTAAATATATGGATCCTTTGGCAGTTTGGAGTCCAGGCTTCCGTGACAACTTTCTGACAACTTGGCTTTTGGTGACTTTCACCCAGAGGGAAAGTGTGTGCAAGCCTGATGACTCTAATATCTTGTCCATGAGCTAAAGATTCTTATAATGCATAAATAAATTGACTTCTCAGTTCACATACCAGCCTCCTTCACTTGGTAAATCTACTCCAGATATCTTGGATTATTTTTCAAGAGCTTTTATTCCCTCTACACTATCTATTTTTGCATAAAGTCTTCATGATAGACTACAATGTGCCAGGTGAATTAAATAATTAATTGTAAAAGGGGAAAAATAAAAAACATAATGGTTGAATATGTTTTGGCTAGGCACACTTTCCAAAAACAAAATAACAAAACTAGAGATAATAAAAGAGTGTTTTAGTTAGGTTTGGCTTTGTGTAGAATACTTGTGTAGATATCATAATCTAAAAGAAAAGTGTCAGAATTGGAGAAAATACTTGATTTTTATCCAATATTTAGAAGTTTAAATGTGGATAAATTCATGAATTCCTATAAACCAATTTTAGAAAAGCCATTTCCAAGAAAAATTTACAAGATTCAATATTTGCCTGCAATAACTGGGACATACTTATGAAAAAATATTTGTAGTTTTGATGAAATTCAAATTTAACTGGGTGTCCTGTATATTTTTGTCTGGTAACCCTAAAAGGATACAAACTTCCAATTTACTGCATGAGAAACACTAATGATCCACAAACATTGAAAAGACACTGGTATCACCATGCAAATTAAAACAAATATGAGTAATCCTTTTTTTTGCTCATTAAATTGGAAAATATTAAGAAAACAACAGCCTTTGTTAATGCAATACCAAGAAATATGCACTCAAAACCCTACCTGTGGAAGTGTAAGTCCACAGAGACTTCCTAGAAAATATTTGCAGCCATAGTGTAAGAACTTAAACTAAGTCCAATATTATGTTCCACCTTGACATCAGGTAAAATGGGGAGGGTCTTGAGTTGGCTAACTACAAGTCCCCTCCCCATCTGACCCCACAGATAAGGTCCCCTAGTCAATAACCTTCCTTATCAAGGGGACCAGGCACAGTTCCTGGTCATCCCTGTGTAGTGGGTTTCAGCCCTCTGCCAGCCTGTCAGCTTATCAAACAAATCAGTCTTACCATCCCATGGGAACCAGGAGGTACCCTATCCTCTTAACATTAGGCAACCTGCTTTTCACACCATTAATTGTTTACTCTGTTCCTGAGTGTGCCCCCATGTAGCCTTGCATGGTGTGCAGTGTCCTCTCCCCTCCAGGCTTTGACTAATAAACTGTTATTGATCTCAACTGTCCATTATCATGTGTCACTTCCTAATCCTGGAATGAGGATTCCTCCCTCATCAACTGGATGAAAAAGCAGTGATTAAAACATCAGCAACTTTTCAATTTTAAATGTGTCTACTTTTTAACCAAGAAATTTCACTTCCTAGAACCTGTAGAAACAAGAATATATGTTGTGACATTGTTTTTTTTTAATTTCTATTTTCTTTATTTGATATATGCAATTGATCAGTCAGACCATGAATGTTTACTGAAAATATGAAGAAATAGATGAAAAACTTTGGCTCTGTAATTTTTTTCTGAGAAGCCAGTATATCTTTCAATTTACTAGAACTAATATAAGCTCTCACTCTAATTTATAAAGCTTAAGGTCCCAGCTATGCATTAGATTGCCCATGTTTCTTATAAAACCTAAAGTTCCCTTTTTTCCAGTGACATTGTTTTTAAAAGCAGAAAGTTGGCAACTGCCTGAATATTTATCTATAAGGAAATGGTTAAATGAATTATATTTAAACAAACTATGAAATACTATGCAGCAGTTGAAAAGGCTTAGAGAGAATTCCAAGACTCATTACTTCTAAGCAATGCATGTAATATAATCTTACCCAATTTATGTATGATAATATGTCTACATATATTTTGCATTGTCTCCTTCATAGAGGGTGAGAAGAGAGACAGGTGGAGGCTTTTGTGGTCTTTTGCTGTATAATTTTGCACAGTTTGAGTCTGTTACACTGAAAATACATTCTAGTTTTACTTATGTGATATGATATAAATTATGTATACATATATTCAAACTAAATGGTGAAGGCATGTAGTAATGTAATGAACCTGAGCAATAGGATGACTAGTCTAGAATACTCTAACACCCCCAGCCACAGACATCTTCTGGGCCCTAATACGATGTGAGTTAGCTCTTTAAGTCCTTCTCAGCTTCTCTCCAGAAGGACTTCAAAGCAAAAAGTCCTCTTTCACATTTTCCATATGAGTGATGCAATCAAAACTGATACATAGTTAACATATTTTTTAAAATCTTCTGTCATCCCTCTTCCTAACTTTATCTTTTACTTAACTTCATCATCTAATGCATCATGTTAAAAAAATTAATAAGCATAAAAAGAGAATGAGGGTGAGGTCCTGTGATGGAGAGAAACACATAAGCCATTGCTTGTCCCACTGTGCAAACACAGAAAAGCCTTTAGAGACAGTTTCTGTTTGCTAAGTGAGAAACTGTATATAACTATGGATTGATCTGCTCTCTCCCCTTTTTCACTCTTTAAAGAAGCTAGTTGGGTATCGAATTACAAGCAGCGTTGGTAAGCAATTATCTTAAGGAAAGTCACCTACACTTGGGCATTGACGGAAGCCAATCTCTGTTCTGCTGTGGCTCAGTCTTGCTCAGCCTTCTCCATTAGCCCTGCAAACAGACTCTTATCTCCAGCCTAATCAGGCCCCTCAGCTCCCTCGGGACGTGCCATAGACATCTCACCACACTAATGCCGTCATTGAGAAGAGCCTCCCCGAAGATCATCATGTACAGTGCCTCATTCACTCGTGCCTCCTCAAACACAGCGAGCACAGCCACGGGATCCACTGCCGAGATCAGGCTACCAAATAGCAGGTTCTGAAGCAGGTTGATGTCACTGAGGCCGAAGGCCTTGATCTGGCAGATGAGGTAGAGGGAAAGGCCAATGCCGAAGGCATTGATCAATGCACCCAGGCCCGCCCACCAGAGGATGGAGCCGATGTTCTCAAAGAAGGGCCGGGTGGGCAGGAAGTAACCGCCTTCCAGGACAATGGGCGGAAGGAGATACAAAAAATAGATGCTCGAATCCATGACCGGAGGTGATTTGTGGTTGGTGCCAAAAATGATGGCACCCACCAGAGCCCCAACAATGATGAGAAGACAGCTTTCTGGCATGAGACCTGGCAGTCTGTGGTAAAGGTGGAAGCCTGGGGAGGGAAGAAAATCACATTTAGCTGTCTGCTTACAATACCATTCTGGCCACTAAGACACCGGAAGAGGGGTGTACAAGTTTTTTTTAAAGCCAAGCAGATGGAACCTTAGGCAAGCTGGCTGTCCTCTCTGAGTCTCAGCTCCCTTGTGTAGCAGGAACTGGAAGTGTTGTACGGGCTTTACCCAAGAACAAGTACTTAACATGTCAGCCCCAGTGCAGGCTACAGAATCAGTGTTTCCAGCCAGCAGTCCTTGCCCCCTTCTCCCTTCCATTTTACAGGATTTGGGGCACTTGAGAGCAGAGGGTAGGACTGTCTGCTTTCATGCAAAACCCACATTTAGAGCTCATACAGAGTATTTCATCATCACCTTAGCCTCAGTTACTCCAAACTTACTTTATTTACCTCACTTCCCTCTCTAACAAATAAACAAAAATTAAAAGTCCTTTATTTTGTTTCCCTTGTTTAATCAATAACATTGCCATCCAGTCAATCACTTAAAAGGGAAATCAAGTCACATTCTCATGAACCCTCCTTTATCATCTCTGTCCCTTTATGCAGTAAGCTCACCATTTCATCAGTAATGTCTCTCCCTAGCTGCCTCTAATATCCATCCTCTTCTCTCCAATTACACAGATATTGCCTTTACTTAGGACCCCCATTTCTTCTCCTAATTACTAATTGTCTTCTTGATCTTCTACCTCACCCTCACCACTCCCCCCAGTTCACTCCACATCTTGCTGCCAGATGACTTTCCTACAGCATGTATATCTGAGGGTCTCATTTGCCACCTTATGACTGAAGGTACACAGTGCTTCTCATGGATTTTAAACAGAGAGTATCTGTTAAGCATCCCTGCTAATCAACCCACTGGGAAGTACTAGGTGGAGGACCAAACATGTTTTCTTCAATTCCAACTGTTGATGAAATTTTAGAAACAATATATTAACAAATAAGCAAACAAAAATAATACAATGTGTAAGTATACAATAAAATGCATATTGAATATACCATCAAATAATGATAAATGGTCAGAATACAACAGGTCTCCCCAGGGCTCTCTCCAAGTCAATATCCCCTACTGCTCTATCTTTACACATCCTACATTACAACCAACCACTCACCTTTTCACCTGAAGACTCCCTTTCTTATCTTCATATACTATTATTGATGCCTGAATTGTTCTTTTGTTCAAACTTTTTGAACAAAAAAGTTTTTTGGGTTCTGCTCAATCTTTGAGGTTAAGTTTTCCTGATCTCTCCCAAAAAGAAATAATATGTCTTCCTTTGAATTATTATAACATTTTATTTGTACCTGTCTAACAACAATGACCATTTTCTATTATTTTTTGCGCATGACTTCTGTCCCCTACTAAACCTTAAACTTCTGAAACTCAAGCAGAATGATAGATATCTTTATATTTCCCAAGGCATAAGAGCCACTCTATTTGCTGGAAGATTTTATAAAAGTTTAAACAAATGAATAAACAGGTTAAATATTTATCACAGAGGATTTTACAGTGGAACAGGTTGTTGGAGAATGTTCACAGCTTACATGGTTAAACAACAGAATGGAATACATTTTAGGTGGGGAGAACTCCAGAGAAAAATAGAGATAGGAATGGCCCAGCCAGATATGTTTTACACTCATTGAGGAGACCCACGTGCCTGGAGCAAATTTTAAATTGGGAAGAGTATTGGGAGAACAGTTATGAAGATGATTTTTTAAGCCAAACAATGAAGACTGAATTCAAATGTAAGAAGTGTAGGTTTTCTCCCATAGACCATGGAGAGCTATTAATGTCTCCTTAGTGATTTTTTAGGTTCAGCCATCCAAAGAGCATATGGGTTTCCCTTCTACAGCTTTGAACTTCTCCATGCACTATAGTAGGCAGATTAACACAATGGCATATTATTAGTATCAAGAGACATTATTGCAGACCACGCACCTAGCCTACTGGCTTCCAGATCAGTTTTAGGCTCCTTGTGGAGTCCTGCACTCTCTATCTCTGAATAAGAATGTTCTCCTTTTCTTCCTTCCTCCTCCCCCTTCTTTGTCTTCATCTTGTAGTGCTTATTTCAACCACAGTGAACTTTTTAAAATGTATAAGTGGAAGAGCCCATAATGTAATTTTTTTAAGAAAAAATTTTTTTTATTTATTTGTCTTTAGAGAAAGGGGAACAGAAGGAAAGAGGGACAGAAACATCAATGTGTGGTTGCCTCCTGCATGCCCGCCTCTGGGGACCAGGCCCACAACCCAGGCATGTGCCCTGACTGGGAATCAAACCAGTGACCCTTTGCTTAGCAGGCCAGCACTTAATCCACTGAGCCACACCAGCCAGCATCCATAGTGTAATTTAATCAAGCCTTGTGTCTCCCCAGTTTGGTTCTGCTCCCCAGAATACAGTTTCCTGAAATGAGACCGGCCTTAAGCTAAGTTGTAGCTACGCGGCAATAGCAGAAAGAGGCATCATGCCTGTAAGAAGGGCACAGTGAAGGACAATAATACCTGTGCTTCATATTTCGCAACTATTCTCCCCTTTTACGATAGACAACAGAGTCAGTCATTTTGAGATTTTATAGTTCTAGTGTGTAAAATTTAGATGGTCACAAACAGCAAAGTCCTACCTATAAGTTAAAGACAAACTTCCTTTCCCTTTTGCCTAATGATTCAGGAACATCTTTCTATAAAGTTACAAGGAATGGAACTGAAATAAAAGATAAACAAAAAAGTCTGAAGTGACTTTGTATTATCTTTGTTCCAAAATATTATTCTTTTACAACATGCATAGTTGGGTGTTTTAAAAGGATTGGAGAGAGTTGTGATGTCTTTCTGTCAGAATGCCTACCAGGCAATGCTAGATTCACCTGTCCTCACCATTAAACTAAGTTCCTTGAGGCAGGGACCATGGTCCTTTCCACATATTATATGGGTGCTCAGTAAATGTGGCTTGATAGAATGACTGAATAAAAGAATGAATAATAATAATGATATTAATTACATTTTAACTCACTTCATAATATAGAATCTAAAAAAAACTATATAAATTTCTTTTCTTAAAGTTTTTATGTCTTCCACCCACCCCAGGTGAATGAGCCACCATATGTAAAACTACATGCCCAGTAATTGGCACCTAGAATACATTCAACAAATATTGCCTTCTTTTCACGTACAATGTAAAGATAATATGAATCCCTAAGGACTAACAAAAATGAAATTGTATTTGAATACACATGATCCATCTGATAATCTACTTATTTTCTTTTTCTAAAATATGTTGTTATGTCAACATGAAAATTGAGAACATTTAAACCACAACACTCTAAACTTCTAGATACAGTGAGTCTCTGCACATATGACACCTCTAAAGAACAATTTATGTTTTATGCTAATATAAAACCAAAGTAAAATATATCCTTTTTGTCTTGAGATGTTTATTGACATAAGCCCCTTTTCTATTAGAAAATCCTTATTTGCACCAAAGAGAGGTCTTAAAAATAATTTCACCAGTGAACAAACTAAGACTTAGAAAGACAGAGTGACTAGCCAGGCAGCGGCAGACCCAGTTCCTGATCCCCAGAAGAACTGTACCCATTACTGTGGAGAGGAAAGGGTGGTTGGGGCAGGGGAAATCTTGAGCATTGTTTACAAAGGAAAACAAAGGATCCACATAAGAGCACCTTGAATGTTCTCAATGTTCCTTTGTGGTTGCCTGAAAGGTATTATACCCTTAACTCTGAACTGAGAATATTATCCCTTTAGAAAGGCATTTTTACTTGATCACTTCTTAAAAGTAATGTAAGGGCTTTTGTATAATTTACTCATTTGACAAACTGCACAAGAGTTCTTCAAACTAAAAATTTCCATTTAATCTTTATACCTTACTAGGTCAAAATGAATAGCAGTTATGAAGGAGTAAGTACCCCAACACCCTTGGGGAGTCAGGTGAATAGGTAGAGCCCCAAATCATGATGCCAAGGAATTAACTGCCAGGTTTCATGGCTTAGCCCACATTTCACACCCATCCTAGAGGTAAAACAGAAATGAGTACTCTGGATTGTAGTAAAGCAATTTATCTACTCAATAAATTTCATAACTGGGGCAAAGGATATGTTATACATGATAATTATAGTAATTTTTCACTTTCAAATAATTTGCTTTTAAGGAGACAAGGCAGTGGAGTTAAGAATTAGATGGCCACAGAGTGTAAACCATCACATTGGTTTTGGGCACAAAGAACCTTGATTAGAATTTAATCCATTACCCTGAATTCACTCTATTTCACAGAGAAAAGAATAGGTGCCCACTGGATTCATTTGGCTCTGTTGTAAATCAATATCTTACTGACATATATCATCTTCTGTGCCCCCATTTCCCATCACTGAAGGACATAGAGTCTCCTGTGATTGTCTTTTTTCTTGCTTTCTGTCATTTTGCAAGGAGCACATGCCACTTTTAAAGAATTAACAATGGGAGACATTGATGAAGCCCCTGGCTGCATGGCCAAGAATAAAAGAATATTTTCAGAAGTATCATTATGTGATTTCTGAAATTCCTGAAGGCCATCCTTCTGAGATCTACATGCTTTACTCTGCAGGATTTTTTAAAGAATAGAACCCTGAGACTTTTGCATGTCAAATAATGTCTCATGATTGTCGTCCTGAAATAATAAGAAATTAAAAAAAAATAAAACAAAAACCCAGGACCCAAAAGTTTGCTTTTAAATTTCAAAACACAATTCTGAAGCATTAAATGGCTTTATAAAAAGCTGTGAAACTTTCCCTTGTGTCAAGGGAACATAATTTTTGATGTAATAGCAGTAACAATTACAATCCACTTAGCTCCCCATCTATGGGGCATTTTTATATACAATATCTTAGGTGGAAAACAACTTGTACAACCCAGTGTTTGAAGACTTACCTATTTTTGCAAGGGATGCTAAAAGTATCCAGAGGGTGACTTCATAAGGAATTTGCACGTTGTCATAATCCAGTACAAAAACAGTTATCTTCTCATCTAGCTCTGAGCTCATAACAGCAAACTGAATATCAGTGGAACTTGTGGATTTGTTCAAATCAGAAGTTGCTTCAGAAAAGTTGAAGGCCACTAGCAATAGCAACCAATTCCAATGACAAAAAGGTACAAACACCTGAAGACCCATACTGTGGGCTTCTCCTGCCCTGTGTGCCACAGGTTTCTGGAGACTAGGAAAGTGACTAGGTTTCTGGAGAACAGCGGCCACCGCTTGCTCAAAAGTAATATGCGTACAGTTCGTTGGTTATCCCAGTAAGAGTCTGAGTGTGTCACTGAGTTGTGAGTGTGGATGTTTTCAAATAGCCTTTAAAAGATTCTTGTTCAGGCACTCAGCTTCTGGCTCAAATGCAGTCATTCAGTAGATTTGTCAAAGCCCAGGGGACTACCTGTGGGACCTTTATCTGATCATGATTTGAAGAGCAATTTATGAAGGAGAAAAACATCTCTTCATTCAAAGCTGTCTTCTTATTTCACTGCACACTGGTATGGTCTTGTGAATAAAAATTAAAAAGACACCACAGTGCTCATTTCAGATATCACTGGAGTCCTTCCAGCCTGGAAGAAAATCCTCCCTCTCTGCCAGATCCCAGGAAATCACTACCTGTCTTGCACCTGCTCCTTCTCTCCTCCCCCTGCACTCTCACTTGTTTTGAATGGCCAAGACTGCAGGTAACTCTTGAGCTACACTTAATTATTTGTTCTGATTTGATTTTCCCTGAATGTTCTCTGGAGGGTTACACTGCTGACACCTAGTGGGCAGCCACAATAGGATAACTTGAATGTCAACATTCAATGACAAAGCACCATGCAATATCATCTAAACCAGGGCACTTTTGAGAGTAAAGAAAACTATCAATAATATATGGCAGAACGCATGTGTAAACCAGGAACTTCCTGGTATATTGTGATATATAGTCTCTATAAATGAGGAAGGTGGGTGACAAGGAGAAGAAGGAGATATAACATGTTACTGGACTCCTTGAGAAATAATTCAGACAGAATGAAGTTCTAGTTATTTGTAAACTTTGTTAACAGTGTTAAAGGTAAACAGTCTTAAAAATATAATAAGCAGAATAAGCTCCATAAATACACGTAAAAACTCAGTTTTGAAAAACTCCATGGCACATCCAAAATTTCCTATTTGAAAGATTTTGTTATTAAGGTCTATTTGTTCTAAAGAAACAGTATAACAGACCTTATGAAAGTATGTTGAGATGGATTCTATACCTCTACTCTTAGTTCTACATCTAGCCAAGTGACCTTGGCCAATTACTTACTTTTCAAAGTATCCTTACATGAAAAGGAGAAAGATAATAGCTACCTTATTGAGTGACTAGGAGTAAAAATAAAACAGGTATACTATCTGGCACTTAATAACTATTAGTGTTTATTATTTTAATCATGTGTCTTAGAGAAATAAAAACTCTATTGCAATGACAAATAGTGATCAATGGAAAATGAGAATTATTTACATTCACTAAATGAGCACCAATGGTTTGCATTTTTTTCTCAGTTGATATTAGTGAGTATAAATAATCTCCCTTCAACAAACTCAACAAAGACCATTAAACATTTGAGACAGGAAGAGTTAAGGAGGGCTAGCATCTAGCTGCAATTTCTTAGCAAGATAATAAAACTAAAGCTCACATATGGATTAGACAAAGCCTCCTCTCATACATACCAAAACCACAACCAATAAAAGGAAAAATAAATAAGTTGGACTTTATTAAAATGAAAAACTTTTTAGTCCAAACTATATTATTAAGGAAGTGAAAAAAAGAGAAAAAAAACCCACAGAATGGAAAAAATATATATAAATCATATATCTGATAAGGGATTTATATCTTGGATATATAATGTACTCTTACAACTCAATAATCAGAAGATAAATAGTCAATTAAAAATTGCCAAAAATCAAAAAAGACATTTCTCAAAAAAGAACACAAAAAATGAATATTATACATTAGGGAGGTACAAATCAAAACTGCAGTGAGATATCACTTCACACTCACAAAAATGCTAAAGTAACAAACAAAACAAACAAAAAGACAGATACTAAGCAATCCTATCAATAATGTTGGAATATAGTCCAAGGTTTCCAGCCAAGATGGAGGCGTAAGTAGATATGCTTCGATTCCTTGCACAACCAAAAGAAGGATAACTAAGTTAAAAATAGAAAGCAACAAGAACTGTCAGAAAATCAAACTGTATGGAAGTCCAACAACCAAGGAGTTAAAGAAACATTCATCCAGACTGGTAGGAGAGGCAGAGAGGGGAAGATGGAACAGTGAAGAAGAACAACAAAATGGTGGCTGGCAGACCAGATATCCCACATTAGCATCCAAATAAGCCTAGATGAACAAATGGGGAGCAAGAGAGACCGCGAAACCCAGGGTTCCAGTGCAGGAAACTAAAACCTCAAAACCTCTGGCTGTAAAAAACCAGTGGGGGTTGTGAAAATAAGAGAAACGCCCAGTCTCTTGGGAGAGTCCATTGGAGAGGCCCAAGAGATCCTAGAATGTACACAAGCCCACCCACCCAGGAATCAGCACCTGAAAGGGCACAATCCACTTCGTGGGGAGTGGGGGCAAGTGAGTAAAAACAGGGCAAAAGCCGAGCAAGTGGCATTGTTCCCTCTATGTCCCCTCCCCCATAGACAACACCACAACACTTTAAAGTGGGTTGCCCCACCCTGATGAATACCTAAGTCTCCACCATTACAATGTAACATGTACAATGAGACAAAGAAATATGGCCCAAATGAAAGAGCAGATCAAAACTCCAGAAAAAGAACTAAACAACAAGGAGATATCCAATTTATCAGATGCAGAGTTCAAAACACTGGTAATCAGGATGCCCACCAAAATGATTGGGTACAGTAGCAAAATAAAGGAAGAAGTGAAAGCTATACAAAATTAAATAAAGAAAAATATACCAGGAACAAACAGTGAAGGGAAGGAAACTGGGACTCAAATCAATGATTTGGAACAGAAGGAAAAAATAAACATTCAACCTGAATAGAATGAAGAAATAAGAATTCAAAAAAAATGAGGGAGAGGCTTAGGAACTTCTGGGACAACTTTAAACATTACAACACCCAAATAATAGAGGTGACAAAAGGAGATGAGAGAGAGCAAGCATTTGAAAACTTATTTGAAAAAATAGTGAGGGAAAACTTCTTCAATCTGGCAGAGGAACTAGACATGCAAACCAGGAAGCTCAGAGAATCCCATGGAAGTTGGATCCAAGGAGAAACACACCAAGACACATCACAATTAACTTACCCAATATTAAAGATAGAAGAAAATCTTAAAAGTAGCAAGAGAAAAGGAGAGAATTACCTACAAGGAGTTCCTATAAGACTATCAGCTAATTTCTCAAAAGAAATCTCACAGGCAAGATGGGGCTGGCAAGAGGTTTCCAAAGTCATGAAAAGCAAGGACCTACAACCTTGATAACTATCCAGCAAAGCTATCATTTAAAATGGAAGGGCAGATAAAGTGCTTCCTGGATAAGGTAAAGTTAAAGGAGTTTGTCATCACCAAGCCCTTATTATATGAAATGTTAAAGGGACTTATCTAAAAAAAAGAAGAAGGTCAAAACTATGAACAGTAAAATGATGACAAACTCACAGCTATCAACAACTGAACCTAAACAAAAACAAACTAAGGAAACAACTAGAACTGGAACAGAATTACAGAAGTGTAAATCACATAGAGGGTTGTCAGTGGGGAGGAGGTGGGGGGAGAATAGGGGAAAAGGTACAGGGAATAAGAAGCATAATTGGTAGGCACAAAATGGACAGGGGAGGTTAGGAATAGTATAAGAAATGGAGAAGCCAAAGAACTTCTAAGTACAACCCATGGACATGAATAAAGGGGGGTAGGGAATCCTGGAGGGAGAGGCAGTACTCAATGGAGGGGGATAAAGGGAAAAAAAAGTGGGACAACTGCAATAGCATAATTGATAAAATATGCTTAAAAATAATGGCAAGAATATAGTGGGATTCTAAAATGTTAGTGGAAATCTAAACTGGAACAGTTTGAATGTTTCTCAAGATATTAAACAAAGAGTTACCACACAACCCAACAATTCTACTCCTAGATATATATACACCCAAGAGAAGTGAAAACATATTCACTTAAAAACTTGTACATGAATATTTTTAGCAGAATCATTCAAAGCAGCCAAAAAAGTGAAAACAACCTAAATGCCCTCCACTTTTTGATTGAACAAATAGAATGTGAAATATCCACACATGAAAAGTGCTGACATGTGCTACAACGTGGATGAACTTGAAAAAAAATGGTGAAAGAAGTCACAAAGACCACATGTTATAAGACTCTAATTATATTGCACGTTCAGAATAGCAAATCTGTAGCAGCAGAAAGTAGATAGATTGTTTAGATTTCGGGGGTGCGGAAAATAGGGGGAGGAGGTAGAGAGTAACTATAATTATTAGGTTTTCTTTGAGTTGATGAAATATTCTAAATTCATGATTATGATTGCATGACTCTGTGGGCATAGTAAAAACCACTGAATTTTTCACTTTAAATGGGTGATTTGTATAGTATATAAATGGGTAAATCATCTGGTATTATATCTCAATGAAGCTGTTTAAAAAACTAAAAATTGAGGCAGGACAGTGAACAAATTTGTTATGACTTATAGCTTCATAAGAAAATAGAACTGGTTGTTTGGTCACATGGGATATCCTCCAGAAAGCCATGTGGAATCACTGTGCTTTAGAAAGTTTATGAGAGATGAAAAGAAAGAGAAAGTCTTCTTCCCACCTCCTGTCTCTTATTGGTCCATCCACATTTGCCTCACAAGATACTTCCAGATATATTAGAAAGATTCCTCCTAAGAAGCCAGATCTCACACCTTATACCACAGAGCTTCATATTGGCCTAGAAGTAGAAAGAGCCACAGCCTTCTGAGGTCTAACAGCCTGCAGGAACCATTGATAATGATAGAGCAGAAGGCAGTACAGAAACTACAATTTATATGAAGTAATTTATTAAAAGCCAGAACTAGAGAGCTAAGGGGAAACGATGGCTTTAATTTGGAAGCCCCCTAGTACACTACAGCACACAGGGCCAGAGCTGGAGGATGAGCTGCAGGCCTTGCATGAAAAATTAT